CGTCTGATCTCTGTAACTGCAAACAAAGGTTTCTGTACCAAATATTAAGATTCATTTTTCTGGTGTATCAAATACTTATTTCATACATATTTCAAAATCATACATTGTATTTTTCTGGATTTTTGTTTTAGATTCCATCACTCGCAGTTGAAGAGTAACTATGATAAAAATTACAGTCATCTACAAGCTTTGCAAGTGGGAAAACCTGAAAAATCAACAGTGTATCAAATACTTGTTCTCCCCACTGTATGTATATATATATATTACTGTATAATGAAACAGCAGGACTAGTGCATCCTAAATTTAACATTAATTAATTATTTTAATACAATCCAGTAATTTCTGCAGTTTTTGAGGAGGTCACTTCCTAATAAATGTCCTTATAGAAAATCTAACTGCTCATTTTAAATCAATACTTTTAAAACGCAAGTACAAAAAATATCAGATACTTTAATACTTTTACTCAAGTAATATTCCTAAAGGAGACTTTAACTTTTACCAAAGTATTTTTTTGGTAAGATACTGGTACTTTTACTCAAGTATCACTTTGTGGTATTTTATACAACACTGGACTCGATCAGGAAACCAAACTAAACCAAAACATAAAGTCTGACAACAGACACTTCGGTAAGACAATTTTAAAGGAGCTCTAACAAGTACATAACTTTATTTCTTTCTTTTGTTGTTTTCTTTTTTTCATGTGATGCTTTAAGACAACATGAGTTGAAGGCTGAAAAAAAAAAAAAAAACGTACTGTATTAGAAAGTAAACAATGATGTTTGAGTGCCCTCTGCTGGAAAGTAAAGTAATTTACTCACCATCATTTAAAACAATTGCTGATTATACAGTATTAACTTTAAAAAATAGGTCAAACTAAATATTTTCAATTTAAAAAAATATAAATCTGTATTTAGACAGATATATAGTAATTTAAGGTTTTATTTAGGTATTTCCTCATAGGATCATATCTGAGTATTGGATAAGGTTAATACAGATAAAACAGAACTGTGGGTTTATTCTAAAGGGCTGAAAGCAGACCTGAGCAGAAAATTGCTGGTACTCTTCAGGTAGGATCCAGGAACGAGGATAGAAGTCGTATTCCTCTGGGAAAAGTTGCTGCATGGTCCTCATGGCTCTGCTCAGGTTGATCTTCCTCAGCATCTCAACCATCCCTGCAGACAAACCAAATCCACAAACCGAGACCCTGAAGCACTCAGAGGTAATGTGGAATAAACGATAGTGATATTTTTCTTTACTTGGTTAAACGTTTGTGATTAATTGCTTTAACATTTTAGATTAAATGATGAACACACTTTATTTGTATTGAAATTAAACAATTAAAGTTCCTTCTTCACTATAAATAAAATATATTTTTTGTTTTGTTTTTATACGTAAAAGTCCCTAAGAAATACCTGGGAACTTGTTGACCTGCCCTGAAACAATGTGTTCATTGTCGTGGAAGGAAACACCGTGCCAGTAGATATCACACGGAGCTCGTCTTCCCAAAGGAAACTGAGGAAAAGAAGAAAGCAGGAAAACAAAGAATTATCTTAACCCTCAGAAAGCCCTTTAACTTTATGAAGTTAAGTGTTCCTTATGGGGAAGGTTTTAGAAATTTAGATTTTTAAAAACATTTTTATTTCCTATTAACATGCCCAAAATAGTTTGAGTCTGGACTGTTTTTTGTTTTCTTTAGAGTTTTGAGAAGACCATCAAGCCCACCGGGACCTTCGGAACCTGTAGCCAGAAATGATGCCTTGTTTTCTAGTAAAATTACACATTGGTTGTTGGTCCGAAATGGAGTTGTTTGTTTATTTTTAATATATATGTACATATAATTTTTGAAAGAAATTTAAAAACCCTACTTGGGCACAACACAAGTTTAAGTTTAGTCTTTTTCCTTTGACTGAACCTGATAAACCCAAGCTGTGACAGTGCGGTGCATCCATTACTGATGTGCTGATTTAGACTGAGCCAACTTTCTTAGACCTGAAGCAGCCAGCTCTGTAGCCTGCGTGGATATAAAACTGTTTTTGTATCATACTCATGCAACTTACACCTGTCTGTCCTTTTCATCCAAAATAAAACAGTTTTATCGGACGTGATGACAGACAGAACTGCACAGAAATGTCAAACGTAGCTCTTCTAGTTAATTTGTAGACCCTCAGTGATTTTTACAGAGGCTTTCAAATGTAAAAAAGCATCATAGAGTGTGTCAATGTAAAATTAAAGGGGCAATATCATGTACAATCATCAACTCTTGTGAGTTTTATATCATGTTATAATGTTATACTCTCATAAAAAACATGCCCAAAGTCTTGCTTTGACTCATTCATGCATGTTTGAGAAATCCTGCAGTGTTTTTAGGCAGCCATGCTGAGGAGCAAGCTCGTGGGTGAAACTGAAAGTGAAACTTAAAATGTCTGCTAAGCTCTCAACATTAGTTCTCACTCAGTGAAGCTCTTTTCAGATTAAAAATACCTTTGAGGAAATGTATTTTCAGATGTCAAGTAAATGGAACAGAAGCAGAAGGAGGTTCTTAAAGAGACAGAGGGCAATTTCAAGGTGTTTAGAAGAGGAAGTGATGAGAAAACAACTTTATTTTCTATTTAAATATAAAAACGGCATTTTAATAACAACTAAAGGTTACATAGATACTTTATTATGGTATAGTATTTAAATATATGCCTGAGAAACACATAATATTGCCCCTTTAAAGTATAGGGATACATGTCCATCCATTCCACCTCCTTGAGCCCTCCTACGTTCTGCCAAACAGAAAGGTAAGCTGAACAAACAAAGTGTAAATAACCAGTTTATTAACATATATAACACTTTGTTCTACTTCTATCTTATCTTAATTGTGTTTTAGGCTCTAAAGGAGATGGTGAGGCAGAACAAAAATACAGAAGGCAGGTTAAAGTTGGAGTTGGTTGTTCTGAGTAAACAGTGGATTAAGACTGAAAATATGAACAAACACACCTTACAGGTCCCTCATGGCACATTCAGAACCCTCAGACAGTGTCAACTCACCTGTAACAGTGCACCGGGAGGAGCCAGAGGGTCTTTATTTTTTTCACAAATTATCTATCAGGACATAGTGACATTTTTAACAAATATGTAAAAACTACAAGTCTATAAAAGTTACCGACTGTGGCTCTGACAGCTGACATATGGACATCTGTAAATATGGATTACCTGGCTGTTACATGCCACTACACTGAGTAAGGTCACAAAATGTGTCCATCAGTGTTGAGAGTGCAATACGTCCCACAGAACCGTACCACTGAAAATACGGCCCTTAAAGGACCTGATAGAGGAGTGGGTCATAGCCGACAGAGTCGTATGTTTCATCACAGATGCAGTATCCAATATGATCCCAGCTGATAGGGTTATTTAATTAACTAAAGCAAACAATCTGCATGGAACATGCTTTAAATTTAATTGTGAAAAACAACCAGCCTATTTCAAAATACCCCAATGCCTGGAACCAGTTTTTCTTTGTGTGGACGTTCACATTTTATTTTAAATGCAACTTCCATCAGACTCCAGTAACTGTCGATGTGACCCACATTCACAGATGACGTGACGTCACAGTCAGCACGCTGAGTTTACAAAAGTCAATATGGATGTTTCATGTTAGCATGTTGATTCTGAAGTTATCAAAGTCGATTAAATAATTATCTGACCTGCTGATTCAATTTACTGTTTACATTTGAAGCTGCCTCTGGTCGGCTGCTCCGGTGCAGCATGTTTTTATGCTAATGAAGCGATGTGCAGGAAGTAAAACTAACTAAAGTATTGATCCAGTAACTTTAGCATCAATATGGTCAGACACCAAAAACTGGACTTTTTTTTCTGTAGCTGAAGATGTGAACTACAAGATTTAATCTCACTGGAGGTTAGTGCCATTATTATGACTTGGATCGATCTGTATACACCAGGGGTCTGCAACCTGTGGCTCTGGGGCCACATGTGGCTCTTTGGTCCCTCTGCAGTGCCTCTTTAAAAATGTGACCAAACATAACAGAATAAATAATTTATTTTTTGTTTTGTTTTTTATACCCACAACAGAAATCAATTTGTATGCAAATATGTGAGCAATATTACTCATAAAAAAGTAAAACATGTTAGCTCATGCTAGCCTGTTGCTTACTTAAATAACACAACTTATTTTTCTTAAATCCATCAGAATTGCCTTTAAAGAATTTGAAGACTACATAATAAGAATTAGAAGGAAATAAATGCCTGAATAATTCAGTTGTACTAGTTTTTATGAAATTCGGTAAAAACAATATACAGTATTTTTCTTGTTTACATGAATATGATATTTTTATTTGTCCTGATGTGTATAATAATTATAATAATAGCAACATTTTTTAGTTTTATAATGTCACCTCCACTGACCGTGACGGTTCCTGAAAAGGCCTTGAAAAGGCCCGCGGACCACCAGTTGATAATCACAGTTGTAGCTTGTTTTGCGGCTCTGCACACATTTATTAGTGAGACGAGGAGCAGAAGTGGCTCTTTTGATTGTAAAAGTTGCAGACCCCTGGTATACACCCACTTCGCTGATGTAAAAGTTGGATGAAATGTGACATGACGGTTCAGACTGAGGTCACTTTACCAGTACCAGGTTCTAAACAAAAGAAATGTGTTTTTTTATATAATATCGTGTAATATTTGAGTTCTAACTCTGTAATATATATCAGCAAGTACCCAAATTGAAAAATTCTGAAATTGGGGCACCCCTAGAGAAAAAAGTCACATGATCGTGTTCTGACACTCCAGATATACAGACCATGACAGGGCAAATAAAGCACCACAAGTAAAGAGAAGCTGTCTCATAGCCACAACTGAAACTGATCAATGAAGTCCAGACAAGGTGGAGCAGCATGTACCACCTGCTGGCGCGAATAAATGAACAAACTGAGCCAGTGTGGGTCTCTACAGCCTCCTTAAACAGATCCTGCTCCACTGAAGACAACAGCATCAAGTTCATTCAAGGCCAGTGATGCAGCAAAACGCCTCAGAGCAGAGTTAGCTGCTGAGCTGACCCCATCAGCTGCTACTGGAGATCAGACTGGACTCAACATTTATTACCAGCAAGCCAGTTCTGGAATGTGTGTTTGGAACATGCTGCATGATATATGAGCACAATCAGTGTGACGTACGCACAATAGTCACACCGCAGGTCCTGCGATGTAGGAGGCAAATTAAATCAACGTGTAAACCATAAGTCATTAAAAAGGCTTTTATTTTGACTACACCCACAGCTGCTTCATTTGTCATGAAACTTTTGGGACAATATCGGCAGCATTTTTCTGAGAACTGTAGTAACTTTTGAGTTGTGGAGGAAGACGACAAGGGTGACGTGATTTGAATGAATGGGTGATTATCAGGCTTCTGCAGAATATGGAAGATAAATAATAGATGATGTAAGTAACCCACCATATGGCTAAGTTAAAAAGATAGGTAAAACTTTATTACCCCCGCCCCCCTCAATTTTTACCTCCGCCAAGGGCGAGGTAATGTTTTTGGTCGCATATGTCTGTCTGTCGTTCTGTCTGTGGACAACATTACTCAAAAATTTGTGGATGGATTGTCATGACATTTTTACCACATGTGGGTACTGGGCCAAGGAACACACCATTAAAGGAGACCAATTATTATGGGTCCTAGAAATTTTCATGGTATGTCTGTGGGCTATCCAGACCATGTTCATTCAATTTAATGCACAAAATAATTCTCAGATAATA